GAGGAAGAGAGAGAGATGGAAACATCGATGTGAAAGGGACACATCGAGTGGCTGCCACCCGCACGACCAACCAGGGCCGGGGACAAACTGCAACCGAGGTACATGCCCTTAGCGGGAACCGAACCCGGGTCTCTCTTGACCGCAGGCGGACGCTCTAACCACTGAGCCAAACCGGCCAGGGCTAGATTCATATTTTTAATCACATTTTAAAAATTATGATATTTTCTAGAAGAAGAAAATTACATGAACTACATTAACAGTATCACTGAAAAAAAAGATTAGGGAACATAAACACATTTCCATCTTTACCATTCAGTCCAGGTATTCTCTGGTCAAGATGTCCTCACTGCCCAGTCCCACTTCAGGTCTCAGTGTCTTGGCTTTGTCCTTACCACCTTCCTGCGTCTGGGGGTGAAGGTCAGCCCTGACCCAGTTAGAGTCAAATCAATGGACCTTTTCCAGACCTTTTCCTCACGTGACCATTCACCTGCCTTTCACATCAGTGTCTTCCAAACTTGACTTGGCTTTAAAAAATTGCACCTGTAATTGTTTCTGTGTGGATCCTCGAACTGTCAATAAGGAGTCTTTCAAAAAGTGGGTGGGGATACCTCACAACACCAGTCCTTCTTAAATAATATTCGGTGTCAAAGTTTCAGTTTCCTAAATGTTTGGTGTGTTCTTTTCAGTCAGGACACGGACAGAGTCCATACGTTTCAGGTGGGAGATAGGTGTTTTAACTCTTTTTTTAATCCCCACCCAAGGACATTTTTCCAGATTTTGTTCAGACAGAGTGGGAGGGAGAGAGAAACATCGACGTGAAAGGGACACATCGAGTTGGCTGCCACCCGTATGACCCAACCAGGGCCGGGGGCAAACTGCAACCGAGGTACGTGCCCTTAGTGGGAACCGAACCCGGGTCTCTCTTGTCCGCGGGCCAAAGCTCTAACCGCTGAGCCAAACCGGCTGGGGCTTAACTCTTTTAATAGTAACTCCCCCTTGATGTCTCTTGTTCTGTTTCATTGCAACTTGTTTTGTGAAGAAATGATTTGTCCTCAGTTTCCCATTGTTTGGATTGTGAGGATTGCACTGCCATCTGTTTTAACTTTGCTTTTCTTATTTTTTTAAACTCATCTTTATGGTTGACTGTATTACAGATGTTCCCTCCTTTTTTCCCCATTGACCCCCCCTCCCCAATCCTGCCCCCCTTCTGCCTTCCCCACACTATTGTCGGTGTCCATTGGTTATGCTTATATGCACAGAAGTTCTTTGGGTCATCTCATCCTGCCCTCCCTCCCCCCTTCCCTTTGAGGCTCATCAGTTTAACAACCAATTTGTACTTCTTAATTCCTTAATATTTTTTACCCATCCCCCAGCCCCCACCCATCTGGCAAGCAACAAAAAGTTCTCTGTATCTGTGAGTCTGTTTCTGTTCTGCTTGCTTATTTTGTTTGTAGATTCAGATGTTGATAGATACGTATTAATTGCCATTTTATTGTTCATATTTTTGTTTTTCTCCTTCAAGAAGACCTTTCAACATTTCATACAATATTGGTTTTGTGGTGAACTCCTTTAGCTTTTTCTTGTCTGGGAAACTCTTGATATATCCATCGATTCTAAATGACAGCTTTGCAGGATAGAATAATCTTGGTTGTAGGTCATTGCTTTTCATCACCTTGCCACTCCTTTCTGGCCTGCAAAGTTTTTTTTGAGAAATCAGCTGACAGTCTTGTGGGAGCTCCTCTGTAGGTAATGAACTGCTTTCTCTTTCTGCTTTTCACGTTCTCTCTTTGGCCATGGCTGGTTTGAGCATCTGCCTGCAGTCCAGAGAGACCCAGGTTCAGTTCCCACTAAGGGCACGTATCTCAGTTGCAGTTTGTTCCTGGCCCTGGTTGGGGTCGTGTGGGTGGCAACCACTCGATGTGTCTCTCTCACGTCAATGTTTCTCTCTCTCTCTTCCTCCCTCTCTCCCTCTTGCTTTATCTGAAGGTGAATGCAAAAAGTGTCCTCAGGTGAGAACAAAAAAAAATTTTTTTTAAGATTTTCTCTTTGTCTTTAACCTTTGGCATTTTGAAGAAGATGTGTCTTGGTGTGGACCTCTTTGGATTCATCTTGTTTGGGACTGTCTGTACTTCCTGGACTTGAATGTCTGTTTCCTTCACCAAGTTAGGGAAGTTCTCTGTCATTATTGTTTCAAATAGGTTTTCAATTTTTTGTTCTCTCTCTTCTGGCAACTCATGACATGAATGTTGGCACGCTTGAAGTTGTCCCAGAGGCTTCTTACACTATCCTCATTTTTTTGGATTCTTTTTTCTTTTTGTTATTCTGATTGGGTGTTTTTTGCTTCCTTATATTCTAAATCAATGGTTTGCTTCTTGGCTTTACCTACTGTGCTATTGATTCCCTGTAAATTATTCATTTCAATTAGTGCCTCCTTCATTTCTGACTGGTCCTTTCTTATGTTGTTGATGTTCTCACTAAGTTCCTCAGAGGTCTCTTTAAGTTTCTTGAATGTCTGTCTCACCTAGTTCCTTGAGCAACCTTATAAACTGTGTTTTGAACTCTGCATCTGATTGATTGCTTATCTCCATTTTGTTTAGTTCTTTTCCTGGAGTTTTGTTTTTTTCTTTCATTTGGGACATATTTCTTTGTCTCCTCATTTTTAGCTGTTTCTCTGTGATTGTTTCTATGTATTAGGTAGAGTTGCTATGTCTCCTAGGTTTTGTAGGGTGGTCTATTGTAGGTGTCCTGTAGGGTCTAGGGGCACAGCCTCCCAGCTGGGCCCTTGAGGTACACCCCTAGTGTGGACTATACACCCTTCTGTTGTAATTGAGTCTTGATTGCTGTTGACACGTCAATGGGAGGGATTTACTCAGGCTGATCAGCTGCAAGACTGGCTGTTCCCACTGACCACTGACCTCTGACTACCTTGGAGGACCAGCTGTGCAGGGCCCACCACACAGAGCAAGACTTACTTCATCAGGGCTCTGGGACCCACTGAGTCCGCTCATTGAGTGTGTCACTTGCGGAGGTGGTTGGGTGGTGGTGCTTTGATGTGGTCTGGAGCTGTCCACTGGGTGTGCTGGCTCTGGGGCAAGGTCACCCACTGCCTGTGTTCTACCCGGGGCCATAGGTATAAGCTACAAAGTGATCTGCAGCTGGCTGCTTCTTGTGCTGGGCTTGGAGTTGCCCAGGAAAAGCCAAGTTGTGAACCAAGGCTGGCTGCTTCTAGTGCTGGGCCTGGGGCCACTTAACGAGAGGTATGGGGCTCACTGTGGCCAGATGCTGCTTGTTTGAGAGGTTTTAGGAAACTCTGAAGCAGGATCCAAGACAGATCAATCCTATGGTAAAGCCTTTGGAAACAGATTGGGTGGGCCAGATAGTTGGGTGGGGCGGAGCCTCAGGGAATCACCAGGATGGGGCAAACAGTGTGAGCCAGGTTGCTGGAGTCCCACCCCAGGGAAGGACTCACCAAAGGAACAACAGCCTCCACCAGCACGTCTGTCCAGGAGAAAGCCGCCTCTCCAGCCCTCCTCCCGAGGCCAAACAGCTCAGTTCTACCCTGTATGTCTCCGGTGCCCTTCAAGCTGCCACCCCTCTGAGCTCAGAGGGAGCAAGTCCTAGTAAGTCTGCGTGTGGGCCCTTTAAGAAGAGCTGCCTGGGGCTCCTGCAGCCTCAGCCTCCCTGAGCCTCAGTTCCTGCTGGTTTTACAGCCAGAAGTGATGGGGATTCTCTTCCTGGCACTGGAATCCTGAGCTGGGGGGCTGGTGTGGGAGGGGACCCCTCACTCCTCAGGGAGGACCTTCCCAGCCGAGGTGTCCTCCTGATTTTTATCCGCCACACTTGGGTGTGGGGCCAGCCTGCTGCGCCTCAGCCCCTCCTCCCAGTGTCAATGTGGCTGCTTTAATTTCGTAGTAGTAGGGCTTCCATTCAGCGGGATTTCAGGCAGTTCTGAAAGATGGTTGTTCTGTAGGTTAGTTGTCATTTTGATGTGGTGTGGGAGGAGGCGATACCCCGTTTATCTACCCGCCATCCTGACCAGAAGTAACTTTACTTTCTTTAAACGTCCGTCTGCCTCGTCAAATTGGTAGTTAGATGGGAACTGTACTCAGACTCGGGTTCAGTTCTTTGGCAGGACTCTTGTGCATGACGATTGTCCTCCTCCTTCTGGAAGCCACACATCTCCCTGTCTGTCTGGGGCGTCAGCCTCTGCTGGTGGATGCTAACTGCCCCCTCCTTGGACCCCTTGCAGCAGACGGGGCGGCCATGCGCGCTTTACCTCCTCACGCCCCAGCCCGAATGCTCTGCTGAAGAAGAAACCCGGCTCCCTCCCGGCTTCTGTGGTTCACAAGAAAGAACGTTTCCAAAGTACCGAACAGGATTTTAAGTTTGTTTCCTTTTATTATTGTTATGAGCTGATGGGTGGAAATGAATTTAAGTATTTTGGTAGATTGAAGTTGTTACTCTCTTTGATGCTGACCCAACCCGAGACCATCTTTGAACGGCTTCTTCCAAGTCCCTTAGACACGTTCCCTCTATATTTGATAGCATTCTCCTTTATTCAACACGTTATTCTGAAAAAAGTTCACATTCACAGGACAGTTACAAGCATTGTACAAAGAAGTCCCATATTCCTTTTGCCCAACACTGTGGAGGAGACGAGCCACCGGAGCCGGGACTCCAGTGTCCTCTTCATTTAAAGGAATGTCTGCCATGTCATCGCTGCAGGGGGTGTGCCGTCACCCTAGTCCTGTCCTTACCCCGAGAGCTTAAGGCTTAGAACCAGTGGCCACAGACAACTCTGACAAATAAGGGAAAGAAAGGGGTGTATCATGCTCCTTAATAAGTGAGACATTTAACTAAAATATCGGTAGATGGGGTTCGGCAATAACATCACAGACTATTTCCCTGGGCAACCTTCCCTCCCCCTTGTTGGGAAAAAGAATCCCACCCCCAACAGACAGACAGACACCTGTCCTCTTGTCTGCTCTTCACTCAGTGGCTCACAGGTCATCAGCTGCCCCCACATCTCTGGAGCTGTCCAGTGGCCCGTGAGCACCCCGTTCTTTCTCTCCGCACTTCTTCCGCTTGCGTCTCCGCTGCCACAGCTGTGGCCTGAGACGTCCCTGAGCCGCACCTGTTTACCTCCCCTGACCACCTGAGTTCTGACATGGCTCCCGGTCATGCTCAGAGTGTTGTATCATGAACCTGCCGGCTTGTCCTTGTCCCTGGTTTCTTGGAGGAAACCCCTAAATCCTCAGAATGTCCTGAGTGATAGGAATGTCTGCAAACTACGCGGGGCCCCTTGGAGCACACCTGGGTTTCTGCTAAGCAGGTGCCTTGGGGTGCGGGTGGGCAGTCAGGCCAGAAAGACCAACCCTGTGATTGCAGGTCAGGGATTAGAGCCCAGTCTCTGGGGAGGAGAAGGGGCTATTGCGCCAGTGATTGACAAGATCGTGCCCTCATAATGAAACCCCAAGAAAAGCCCAGGTCACCAAAGCTCAGGTGAGCTTCTCTGATGGGTGAAGCACATGTGTGTGCTGTGAGGGACGCAAGCTGAGGACACGGAAGCCTGGTACCTGGGACTGTCCCTGTGTTCTCTGATGACCCCATGTCCCAGGACACTTTCCTCCGAATCCAGTTCCTGTGAGGACCCCTCCTTCCTCGCTTCCTCCCCGCCCCCAGGAATTCCTCCACTGCCCTCATCTCTGTCCACAGTTCCCGCCTCACCACAGGCTCGAGATGTCCCCTGTCACGTCAGGCTGGAATTGAAGGCTGTGAAAAGGACCCCATTAGGGGTAACGCAGTGAGCACTGTGTGTTCTCTTGTGCCCCAGGGTCCGTCAGTCATGGCCTGTTTCCAGGACAGCATGTCTCCCTGAGTCACCAGCCCTTGGCTCTGAGTTTCAGACCTTTGTCTAGGTGCCCATGGAGCTTTCTTCCTTCTCTCTCCTCTTCCCTTCCCCTGCTTCAGTACCGTCCCCTTCTTCCCTGCTCTCTGACTCTAGTGTAGGATCCGCCTCAACTTCTGCTGTGTTTTCTGCAATAACCAGGATGATTTTTCAGAGTTCAGAAATGTGTGTAAATAGTAACAGCCTCATTAAACTACCTTCTCATGTGACAGTGAACAGGCTAATGAACTCATGTGACCACACACATTGAAGGTGAGAATTTCATCTTTATTAGATTTCCTCAAGAGATACATTGCCATGTGCTCTTTCTTTAGTGATCTAAAGTAACATACACACACACGTCATCTAGGCAAGTTAAAAAATTGCAAGTGAATTCTCACAATTCAGTAATAAAGACCATAAAATAAAAATTACATTTCCAAGAATATGGGGGCAACTACCCACCTAGCTATAAGATCATTGATGTTATATGAATAAAACCACAAAAATCTCTCTTGGAAATGTAGACAAAATTACATTTACATATGTATAACAACTATAAAACGGTTTGTAGGAACCGTTTGCTTTTAAAACTACCACTATTTTAAAACCACTTACATAAATATCTAAAAATTAAATATGAGAATAAATATCTGTGGGCAACATTTGCAAAATAAACTAATGAAATTGATGGTTTACAGGGTGTGGGTGGAGGTGGCAAAAAGATATGTGGCGTACATACAGCTATCATAATTTTGTGGCTCTAATTTTATACTTTTAAAGTGTTTTCCCCCTGTTCTGAGCCCCCAAACGCCACCTTCAGATAGCTCCAGGCCGTTGCAACCAAGTGTATAGAAATAGGAACCTCCAGCTTCTACCTCAGGGGAGACGTGAATTAAACAATGTGAAATGTGGGGTGGTGCCATAGGAAGGGATGGAACCACAGGAGCAGGACGGAACTGTTCAGCTGGTTCGAGAACATTCGGGGTTCTGCTAGACCTGCGCAGGAGGCTCCACTTTCCCTTCCTCAGGTCTGTCGTCAGTGTCGGGATGGACTTGCTGCTGACAACTCCAGCTTTGCCTGGGCTTAGAGGTAAGAGAAAGACACAGGATGTCACATCCCCAAAGGGCAGCTCTCCAGATACAAAGATCACGTGAATTCTCAGTTCTAACCAGACTTTAGACTAAGCTATTAATCCCCTCCTATCTCTCATCCTCCATTCTCAACCCTACTCTGGAACCATTGTTTTCAAGTGTGATTCCTGGACTTTGATGATCCTGAGACCAGACATCACTTAATATACCCAGTAACCTGCTTTAGAGTCAGGACTCAGGGCGATTCTGTTGAGGGAGCCGCAGACCCGGGGAGACTGCTGCGTTAGCTCACTCACACCTTGGTCCATTGCTGCTTCTTAACATCTGAACCTCTGACCTCACTACAAACATCACTGACACGTCAGCATCACAGAGCATGAGGCCAGATGCCCGATCCCTACTCCTAACCCTGCATCCTCATGTTTAACCTCATACCTACTCTAAAGGTGGCTAGTGCTATGGTCTGAATGTTTGTGTCCCTCAAAATTCATAAACTCCAAGGTGATGGTATTAGGAGGTGGGGGCCTTTGGAAGGTGGTTAGGGCACTGGGTGGAGCCCTTAAGAATGAGATTATTCGCCCTGTCCCATTTGGCTCAGCGGTTGGAGCATTGGCCTGCGGACCAGAGAGTCCTGGTTCGGTTCCCGCTAAGGGCACATACAAAAAAAAAAAAAAAAAAGAATGAAATTACTGTCCTCATAAAAGAGCGCAGAAGAGGGTCCTCACTAGAACCCGAGTGTGCCGGCACCTGATCTCCATCTCAGACTTCCAGCCCTAGTCGTTCTCAGATCTCTCCTTCTGACAACTAGACCACAAAGCTGAGGGTGACGTGTGTACTGGGACGGGAGGAGAGACTGGTGAGCCAGGGGACGTGAAAAACACACCGGTGATGCGGCCATAAGCTATGTGTTTGCAAGTAAATTTGAAGAACATAACTAGTCGTGATGTGTGTGTGTGTGTGTGTGTGTGTGTCTGGAGACTGTTCCATCTAACATCCAACGTTAGACATTGACTTTGTTGTAGATGAATATAGTAGTTGGTATTTCTGAGGGATGGAAGTCCCAAAGGAATGAACAACACAAAGTCACAATATATGGAAACCTATTCATTTTCACAAAACTCAGCATTTCAACTAAGCTATTGTTTGGACCCAGTTACTTTGGTTAAAGTGATTTCAGCCAAATCTTGAGGTCTGGCACCCCCCCTCCCCCCCCCCGCCCCGAGGTGCCTGTGTGCAGCTGGCGCTTCGGCTGGTGTGGACCAGAGCCTGGCTGTGTGCCTGGCGGGTCTACTGCAACGTGCGGAAGGGTGGCGGAGAGGGGACGATGAGCGAGGGCCCAGCTGCTGCACTCCTCGATTTCCCAACGGGGCATCATCATTGTGTTTGCACCTGTAGGACAGACCCGCCTTCCTTCTGACCTACCTTAGGCACGGTGGTCTCGGAAATGAGGGCACGATCTCGCCCCCACACCCAGAGGTCTGGATCATAAGCTTGGATCTGGAAAGACAAATTGCCCCCTGAAAAGATGACGACTCTACAGGTGGACCCCCATCCCATCCCTTGTCCATCCCCCAATTCTTTGTCCTCCCCAAATCCCCAAAGCGATCCCCCAGGACCTCCCAGGTCTCCAGTCTGGCCCCCTCCACCTCATCCCTACAGCCCACCTACCTGTTCGCACTCCTCTGGGGAGACCCTTGCCCTCCAGCCCATGGAGCAGAAGAACTGGAAGCGCAGTTTGTGGAACAAGGGGCGCTGGGAGCAGTTGTTCTCCCCGTAGAGGAAGGAGAAGATGGCCTGTTTAGGGGCATGGTAGTTCTCTTCCATGTCGAGGGCCAGGTAGCTGAGGAAAGACAGCAGGTTGCCAGTCAGGAGCAGGACAGGAGGATCCTGCCTGAGGTCAGCTTCCCAGAAAGGACCCGGGCGGGATCCTGTTCACACAGGACTACGGAGCCCTGTCATCAAGAAGCTGAGCAGGGCCCTGAAGGACACCTCTCCACTATGATGATGAAGATACAGTTCAGTGGGGAAGCTGGTCCCTTCCCTTCAACGTGGTGCGTGTGCACACCTGTCTCCCTGTGCAGTCAGACCTACACAGCTCCTGAGCGCGGGGACCGGCTGGTCCATTTCTGTATTCATCACTTTCCTACCGAAGGACTAAAAGAGGGCTTGGTTCATCGGTGGATTAATTCAACAGCACTTTTTCTTTTCTTTTCATTTTCTTTTATTTTTATCCTTACCCAAGGACATTTTTGCATTTATCTTCAGATAGAGTGGGAGGGAGAGAGGGAGGAAGAGAGAGAGAGAAACACAGATGTGAGAGAGACACATCGACTGGCTGCCACCCACACAACCCCAACCGGGGCCGGGGACAAACTGCAACCGAGGTACATGCTCTTAGTGGAAACCGAACCCGGGACTCTGCAGTCCACGGGCCGATGCTCTAACCGCTGAGCCAAACCGGCCAGGGCAGCAGCACTTTTCAGTTCTCTTCCCACCCTCACGCTGCCTGGCACATGGCATGCACTTCATATGTTTTCATAGAATGAATGAATGGACGGCTTGTTTCATAGTCACATGCAAACCTCATTACCTTACAGGCTCGACATATAATTAAACATCTGCAAAATGAAGAGAGATGTGTGAAGTGTCCTAAGAAAAAACCATTGATATGTTGACAAGCCCCGCCTAATGGGGTTGGGAAACGAGAAGGGGGGGATGAGAAATACTGTAATACAAAATATTACATCCGAATAGAGTTTTAATGAAAGTGCTACTGGGATGTAGCAATTGGGGGTCAAGACAGTATGTGAAGATTGTGGTGTTTGAATCAATTTTAAGAATGTGTCTTTTTTTGCCCTGGCCGGTTTAGCTCAGCAGTTAGAGCGTCTGCCTGTGGTCCAGAGAGACTCGGGTTTGGTTCCTGCTAAGGGCACGTACCTCGGTTGCAGTTTGTCCCCAGCCCCGGTTGGTCGTGTGGGTGGCAACCACTCGATGTGTCCCTTTCATATCAATGTTTCTCTCTCTCTCTCTCTTCCTCTCTTTCCCTCCCTCTCCCCCTATCTGAACAAAAAATGGAGAAGTGTCCTCGGGTGAGGATTAAAAAAAAAAGAATGCGTCTTTGTTCTGGATACCTGTGTGTTTAAAATACCTAGACAGAAAACACAATGGATGTCGGCGTGGTGGGCGTGTGGTGGGGATGGCGGAGAGCTGAATGCAAGCTGAGTACTCTGGCCTTGATTTAGAAGGTAACTAACCAATGAAATGGTTGGGGAGGGTGTTGAAGTGGTTAGACCGTGTTTTGGAAGCATAGTCAGGGAGACTTGTAAGAAAGAGCCCTCGGTAGCATCTTACATCAGATCTGTGTTGTTTAGTACTTTTTTATTCCTTATTCACCACTCGAGGACATTTACTTTGATTTTTAGAGAGCGTGGAAGGGGAGAGAGAAACAGAGACAGAGAAGCATCAATCAGCTGCCTCACACATGCGCCCCGTCCTAGGTCAGGGATAGAACCTGCAACCTAGTATGTGCCCAGACCGGGACTCTATGTAGTGGATGACACTCCTACTAAGGGAGCCACACAGGCAGGGTCTGCGTTATTTAATCAGGGCCTGAATTGATGAGGAAGATCATTTCATTTGGTATTGTTATGGGGCCAAGGGTGGGGGTTGGAGGGTGGATGGTGGGAGCAGGGGACAGATAGAGACAGAGAAAGAGATAAAGAGAGACAGAAGAATTAGAAATGGCTAGTTTTAAGCCAGTTTGCTTGGGGACAAGGTGGTGTCAGTTCTTTGTGAGGCTTTTACGTTTTCCTTTGCCTTGTTCAGTCTTTTCAATGACATTAGGGTTGTTGGCTTTTACAAGGAACAGTATAAAAAACATTATACTACACTCTTATCATTTCAATACACAAAGGAAACCATGCAAACAGGTTAAGAAAGTAGACGAAAGGTCAGGGCCTACTTCTCTCGGTCCATCTCCCCAGGGTATGAAGACTGGCGGAGGCGCTGAGCAGAATACTCACAGGGCCAGGAAGAAGTGAATGCGCTGGTACTGCCAGGCGAAGAGGCCCGCGCGGCTGAAGTACGCGATCACCATGGACAGCAGGTACTGTGCAACAGGGACAGACGGGAGGACGCACAGTGTGAAACAGGAGGGGCAGTGGGTGAGGGACGGTGATGCTCCCCGGTGGCAGCGTGGAGGGTGTGAGGGCATGTGTCTAGGACAGCCGGCCTCAGGAGCATCTCTCGGACCCTGGGCCAGGAGGCTGCAGCAGAGGGGAGTCCCAGGAGCTGAGAGAGGAGGGGACTTGATGTGGCAAAAACCACAGGGGCAAGACTTGGGCTCTGATCCCAGAGGAGCCAGGCAGAGGCAGGGCTGCCTGTCCACACCGCACAGACCCCTGGGTCCCCAGGGGAGTGGCGACAAGGCATCGGGTCGGAGAGGACTGTGGGCAGGAAGCTGTCCCTTGCCCCAGCACAGATGGTACAGAGGGATATTTACCTTGTCAGACACCCTCAGATTGGTGTCCCAGGCCAGGAATCTCTTAATGACAGGATCCTCTGAGAAAAAAAGGTGCGTGTTAGCTTGGTGACAGGAGCAGGGTTGTCACGGTTGTGTCCCTGGGCAAAGAGGAGAACCTTGCCCGTCTTGGGAAGGTTTCAGGATGGTGGCCAAGGGTGGAGCTGACAGGAAGAGGGATAGAGGACACTGTTCCTGGGCAGGGAGGTGGCGGTGGCCCCCACCCCACCCAGCCCGGCTGACAGACAGACAGACGGGGTGTCAGTAGCGTATCCGCGTGATTCAGAGCTTGCGTAATCAGTGACGCTCCCTCATCATGTGTACCCCTGCCGATGCCGTAGCCATCTGGGCGTTTCCCCAACTGGCATCGCACCAGGGCGGGAAGATGGCCTGATCGTGCCCCCCTCTCCCAGGTGGAGGTATTTAGACTCAAAAGGCCAGTGAGAGCGGAGGAGTCTCAGAGGGTGCAGTGGCAACCAAACTGTCTGATCTCGGGTGCAGACCCATGTCAAGTCTAGTGTGACTCTCTGTCATTTCTAAGTGTCCCTGGCGAGTGCTCAATACAAGAAAGGCCATCACCGAGCAGGCAGTTCTTCCCACTGGAAAAGAGTGGTCATTGGGATGGTTTTCATTTTCAAGGGAGAGAGCAGGGTTGGAGGGTGCTGTCCGGGCCCTTCCTACCGAGCAGCCTGGTGAAGGCCTCGTGGTGTTCGGGCAGCACTGAAGACACCCGCTGCCTCTTCAGCTTCATCTTGAGCCCACACAGGGTCTCCACAACCCAGGTGTCCCGAGCCCCAGGGGCCGTCTCCTCCTGCGTCTCCTCCTCCGCCGCCTCCTCCGCTGACCTGCGCCTCTTCCTCTTCTGGCCAGTGGATCGAGGCGGGGGGCTGGAGTCCACACAGGGTGCTGAGTAAACAAAACAAACAAAAAAGAGGCTACGATATAAAGCTTTTGCTTTTGGAATTCAGCTACTGGACACCTAAACCCCACCCCCCACCCCGCCCCCCGATTCCCCGAAAACCCTTCCGTTCCCTCCAGTCTCACCGACCGCTGGCCTTCTCCCCAGCCCCCTTTCCGTCCTTCTCCTTTGGGGAGATCCATCGGCTCACCCCCAACCCCACTTCATCTTGCCGTTGTTTACGTCTGTCCTCAAAACTCTTCCTTGTGAGAGGTTATTTTTCTCAATAGAGGGAGGAAAAAGGAACCCTCCTTCCTGTCTCTCATCCTCGGATCTCATCTTCTAACCCCCCCTCCTTGCTTGTCACGCTTCCCTTTCATGGGGATATCCTTGTCCCCAGCTCCTGTCATCCCCCTAATGCCTGGCTTTCGGAGTCTCTCCTTTCTTTCACACACAGCCTGCTCAGGGCCCCTTCCTCCTCAACTGTCAGACCTCTCAGATCCCTCTGCCCGGCTCCTCACCTGACGGCCCTGGGATGACGTCCACCTCTGTCACCTCCGGGGGGCCCCCTGAGCAGTTAGGCTGGGCGCTCTGCTTCTCAGACTGGGAACGTGGCTCACGACTGGCCATGATTTGTCCCAAACTCTTCCCTTTCAGGAAAGCTAGACCGTGGTCGGTTCAGACTCCTGGAGAAGATGCTGTTGCTCTACTCTGCTGCCAAGCAGCACGGAATTTGGTCCTTCCAATCAGGAAGGTCGGAAGCCTCTGATGTCATTGGTCACTTCAACCTGGCAACCAGTTTGAAGAATCCAAACACGGGTAACTGCCGTGTGTGCCCTTCTCCTGGAAATCGGGGGTAAACCATATCTCTTGCCACTGACCCCATCACCTCTGACCAGCCTGGAAAACGATCCCCGAGTGTCAGCATCACTGTTTACTCCTCCCCAGGAGACGCCGTGTTCTCTCCATTCTCAACTTGAAAGATGTTGGACTCTCTCTTTTCCCATTCCTATTTCAGCATATATAGTCTGGTGGTGGAGGGAGGTGACAAGGACATTCGGGGAAAGCAGAAATGCGAAGAACTTATAAGAATGAGATAAGTGTGTAAGAAAGATCCCAGGTACATTGACTCGTCGGATTAAAAAGTGCCTTTAAAATTCTCCATTTGGCAAAGCTCGATGGTTACAGACACGGTGTTCAGGATTCTATACCGGAGGGGACACGTCCTCTAGCCTCAGGCATCTTTTAGTCCCGGAGACATTGTGTGAACCTAGAGTCCTAGAAAAGGGTACACGTGCTCACAAACTCAGATGGTGTCTAGAACTTCAGAGTCTATGGATGGCCCAAAGTCTGCCCCTCAATTCCAGTTAAGACACTAATCTGCATCTCAGTTTTTAGCCTGTGTATCACTCTTGGCCAGACATTTCACCACCACTCATGTATCCTATGATTCAAATGTCACACTCACAAAAAGACTAAGTGAACAGATCTTCAATTAAAGACAGAACATGATGTTCTTTGAAGGTGGGAGCTGAGATTCAGAAAGGAGACTAACCAACTCAGTGTCCTGCAGGCTCAGGGGCTGATTCTTCTGAAGCACCTGTCTACCTGATACCTCTGCTCATCTCCTGGGCACTGAATCAGTCAACCTCCTTCCCTCCCTCCCTTCCGTCCTTCCGTAAAAAACACGTAACAAACTTGACCATTGTGCCATATTTGATGTTAAATTCAGTGGCATTGAGCACATTCACGTTGTGCTACAACCACCACCATGCATCTCCAGAACTCTTTCCTTTTCCAAAACTGAGACTCTGCACCCATTAAATACTGACTCCCCCAGCCCCTGGCAGCCACCATTCTACTCTCTGTTGGTATGAGTCTGATTATTCTTGGGACCTCATATAACTGGAATCGTTTAGCATTTGTCCATTTATTTCTTGCTCATTTAGTCAGCATAGCGTCCTCAAGGTTCATCCATGTTGTAGCATGTGTCAGAACTTCCTTCCTTTTTAAGGATGAATAATGTCCATTTTATAGGTCCCATATTGTTTATCCATCCGTCTGCTGATGGACACTTGGCTTGTTTCCACCTTTTGGCTCCGAGTCTTGCTTATGATCCATTGTTTGTACTTCAATGAGAAATTCGGGATGTCCCCAAACTTTTATTTTTCATTTTGATCACTTAACCAGCTCATTCCAAACACGAGTGAAGTCATATCAGTTCATCCAGAAAACATATGGAGTTTCCTCAAAATATTACAAATAGAGGCACTATTTGATGCAGCAATGTCAGTTCCAGGTATTTATTCAGAGGGATGGCCGAGACGTGGAAACAACCTGTGCCCATCAGGAGATGAATGGCCACAGAGGTGTGATCTATACACATAAGTGGAACGTTGTTCAACTTGGGGCAGGAAGGAAATCTGCTGCTTTTGAAAATATGAGTGGACTTGCGTGGTATTACACCAAGTAAAATGAACCAGACAGACAAAGACTAATTCTGTGTGGTATCACTAATATGTGTAATCAAATGAAGACCAAAAAAAAAAGTCAGACTCATGGAACCAGACAACAGAAAAGTGTTTGCCAGGGGCTGGGGGTGGGGAACAGGGTAAGGCTGGTAAAGGGTACAAACTTGCAGTTACAAGATGAGCAAGGTCTGAGGATGGCATGTGCAACATGGTGACTATGGTTGTCAACACTGTTGTAGAATTGACGTTTGCTAAGAGGGTAGAACTTAAGTGTGCTCTCTCTCTCACACACACACGGTAAATAAGTGAGGTAATGGATATATTGATTGGGTGGGGAGAATCCTTTCACAATATATACATATATGAAACCTCCATGATGTACACTTTAAATGTGTTATGATTTTATATGTTTATTATACCTCGATAAAGCTGAAATTTTAAAGACTCTATTCATTGGAGATGCAGAGACTGCATGTCTCCTTTGTTGGCCGTCATGGGCTTTGCAACTTGGACCAGGTCTTGGACCAGGTGCACAGTCCGGGAGTTCCTCTGCACCTTCCAGGGCCAGGCTGTCCCAGGAGTCCCCGCAGATGGAGGGTACTTCTCCATGATGACGTGTGTCCCATCGCTGTACAAGGTCAACCCTTAGGAAACAACTTTGAGTTTGAGGAGGCTGATTTACAACACTTGAAGACAGCTGTCAGTGATCTTAGTAGCACGGATGCATGAATGAGGACACAGAGACGGGAGAAAACACAGGCAACTAATGAGACCGTTAAGGGCAGGAATGGCTTCTTCAGGACAATGTCCAAAAAGACAAAATGTGAGAGGAGAGAAAGTGACAGATTTGAACACGATAAGTAAAAAAAGTCTACATTACAGAAAATAAAAGTTAAAAAAATAAGTCAGGAGCATACATGACAAATTGGGGGAATTATTTCCATTTTCTAATAGAACAAGAGAAAGCTTTATATTCTAAAGACTTTAATGAAGCCACAGTAAGAGGTGGGCCTCTGTTGCTTCTGGCCACAATGGAATCATGGGATCCACGTTCCCCTCCAAGCTGAAACAAGTTTTTAAATGGGAAAATATATGAAATGACAGTTTTTAGCCACTTGGAGAGAGACGTGAACCCTGAGAGTGTCCAGTTCATTGCCCAGAGACAGTCCAGGCCATGGTAGGGGGTGGGGGAGCTCTGGGGAGTCTCTGAGCTGAAGGGAGAGAATGGGTTGCTGAGGGGGCCTGGTAGCTGGGGTTTGCCTGCCGACCAGAGAACGTGAGAAGAGCAAGGCGCAGCAGGACCCGGGTCTGTGAGTATCTAATATGACAGTGTCTTATCTTTGATAACTAATTTTTGAGTTTTATTAGACCCTTTGATGATACTTGTCTTACCACAGCATGAAGACTGTCCTCTCTTTAAGATTTGTGAGACTGACATGAGTCATTCTCAAAGACAGACCATGTGTGAGGACAAAAACTAAGTCTCTACAAGTTCAAGGAGACTGAAAGTCATAACAAGCATCTTCTAGGATCACAATGGCATGAAACTGGAAATCAACTACAATGAAACATTTAAAAACATTCAAACACATGGAAGCTAAGTAGCATGTTATTAAACAATGAATAGGTTACCAATGAGATTGAGGAAGAAATCCAAAATTTTCTGGAAATAAATGAGAATGAACACACAATAACCCTAAATCGACGGGACCCAGTGAATGCAGTCCTGAGAAGGAAGTTCACAGCACTCCAGGCCTATCTCAAAAAACAAGAAAAATTTCGAATATACTATCTAACTCCACAAGTTAAAAAATTAGAGAACAACAAGAAAAGCCCAGAGTAAGTAGAAGGAAGGAAATGATGAAGAACAGATCAGGAATAAAGGGCACAGTGGCTAAAAAAACAATAGAAAAGATCAATGAAATGAAGAGCTGGTTCTTTGAAATGATAAACAAGATTGATGACCCTTTAGCCAGGCTCGTCTAGAAACAGAGAGAGAGGATTCAAATAAATAAAATCAGAAACAAAAGAGATGAAGTAGTAATTGACAACACAGAAATACAAAGTATTGTAAGAAAAGACTATGAAAAACTATATGCCAACAAGTGGGACAACTTGCAAGAAAAAAAATTAAGATAACGTAGGAATAAACTTAACCAAGGAGGCAAAAAACATGTACTTGGAAAACTACAGGATGTTGAAAAACGTGATAGAGGAAGATATAAACAAGTGAAACAATATACTGTGTTCATGGATTGGTAGAATTAACATCATTAAAATATCTGTACTCCCCAAAGCAATCTATAGATTCAATGCAATGCCTATTAAAATACCAGTGTCATATTTCACAGATCTAGAACAGATACTCCAAAATTTTATGTGGAACTAAAAAGACTCTGAATAGCTGCAGCAATCTTAAAAAAAAAAGAAAGAAGAGCAAAGTAGAAGGGATCACAATACTGGATATCAGGTTGCACTACAAAGTCACTAATCAAAACAGCATGGTATTGGCATAAGAATAGGCACATAGATCAATGGAACAGAACAGAGAACCCAGAAATCAACCCAAGCCATTATGCTCAATTAATACTTGACAAAGGAGTAAAGAGCATCCAATGGAGAAAACAACGGTCTCTTTAATATATGGTGTTGGGAAAGCTGGATACTGTATGTCCAGGCATAAAAATGAAACTAGATCACCAACTTTCACCATAGACAAGATAAACTCAAAATGGGTAAAATATTTACATGTAAGTTGTGAAGCCATAAAAATCCTAGAAGAAAACATAGGCAGCAAAATCTCAGACATCTCACAGAGCAGAGTTATCATCAGTACATTGCTTAGAGCAAGAGAAGCAAAGGAAAAATGAATAAGTGGGACTGCATCAAACTAAAAAGCTTCTGCACAGCCAAAGAAACCAGCATCAAAATGAGAAGGGATCCCACTGTATGGGAGAACATATTTGCAACGATGCATTGGATATAGGGTTGATTTCCAAAATATTTAAAATACTTGTACAACTCAACAAAAGAAAGACAATCCAATTAAAAATGGGCAGAGGACCTGAATAGACACTTCTCCAAAGAGGACATACAAATGGCCAAGAGACATATGAAAAAATGCTCAACGTCACTAATCATCAGAGAGATGCAAATTAAAATGACAATGAGATA